AGAGAGCCCCAAAACGGCACAACAGGGTTCCAAGATGGTCTAAGAGAGCCTCATCACGGCCCGAGATGGCCCCAAGACACCCTCCGAAGCATTCGAAATCGTGACCCGGTCGTTCAGGGAGACCGAGACCGCGGTTAGAGGCAGGGTGGCCCAAGGAAGCCCCCAGAGGCCCCTAGAGCACGCCCAGGAGGCCTCCAGAGGGCCTTAAGAACGCCAGAGCAACTTTTGTGAGGCCCCCAGAGGCTCTCCAAGGAGGAGCTTCCTCAAAAAGAGCTGAGGAGGATGAGAGAATGCGCAGGATATGGCGAGAATGAAGACAAAGAAGCATGGAGGACAGATAACGAATAACATTATTATAACGGCGATACCGGAAAATGCAACAAGGAGTTATCGCTAAATTGTCGGCTTGACCTTCCTGCCATTCCGCCTGCCTTACCAAACTTCAAAGACCAAGGTGCATGGCGCGAAGCGCAACTGCAGTCTGGGATATATGTACATATATATATATATATATGTATATTACAAGACTGCATTGGCGCTTCACGCCATGCACCTTGTTCCTACTAGTTTCGGATGCAGGCGGCGCGCGTGCGCGTGGACATGGGTCGAGCCGCCGTGAAATTGGGATGGGTGAGGGGGTCCTAAGCGGGAGCGACCGGACAACACCAGCTGAGGCCAGCTCAGGGCGGTTCGGGGCCCAGAGGTGCGAAGATGTCTCGCACACGAATGCATCTGCTTTGCTCGGGGGCATCGTCGCAGAGGAGGGACGCCAGAGCTTGACACAAACGGCTGCGCACAACAGGCGTAGGATACGCGAGGGGGAGTCCAAGAGACCTCCGAGACCATCCGACAGAGCCCCCAGAGGGTCCCACGACGGGCCCTGGAGAGGCCCAAGACAGGCTCAAGACCTCCCCGAGAGGCCAAACTTCATTGAGAACCTCGGGAACTTCCATGGTTCTGGTCTTCTCGCCTTGTCGCTTGGAATCTGCGCTCGAGGCCAAAGGGCAGCAGGAATGGTCAAGAGAGCTCGCGGGCGGGCCCAAAAGAGGCGGAAGACAGGCTGGAGAGCACCCAGAGAGGCCAAGATGTGTCAAACGTTCTGGGAAAACGTATGTTTTCGGCATAATCGCCTTGTCGCTGCCGATCTGGGCTGGAAGCCTGAAAATGGCGCCGTGATGACCCCAGAGAGCTGGCACGCGTGCCTGAACGAGGCCCAAGGCGGGTCCAAGGGCGCCTGGAGAAGCCAAAATGTGTCTCGCGCTTTCGCGTCCAATCGGCTCTTGAGGCCTCAAGAAGGCCCCAAAGAACCCTAAAACGGTCCCCAGAAAGGCCCAAGGCCGGCCCATGAGGGCCCGGAGAGGCAAACATCGTTTTAAAAAACCTTGGGTAATCAATCTTCGTGGCCTGCTCGCCTTTTCGCCACTGATGAGCCCTTCAAGCCTCAAGATGGCTCGTAGACGATTCAAGAGAGCCCCAAGACGATCCCAAGAGATGCCTAAGGCTGGCCCAAGAATGCCCGCTTCAGCCAAAATCGCTTAAACGTCTTATGAAATATAATGTTTTGGGCTTTCTCGCCTTTTCGCTTACGATCGGCGCGTGAGGCTTCAAGATGGCTCCAGGATGGCCCAAATGAGGCCCAAGACGAGCCCCAGAGAGAGCCGAGACTGGTCCAAGCATGCCCGGAGGGGCGAAAGTCTTTGAAAACAAATGGAAAAGTCATGTTTTTGGCCTTCTCGCCTTTTCGCGTCCGATCGGCTCTGGAGGCTTCAAGATAGCCCCAGGATGGCTCCAAATGAGCCCCAAGACGAGGCCCAAAGAGGCCGAAGGCTGGCCCAAGAGGGCCCGGAGAGTCGAAACTCTGTGAAAATCCATTGAATAATCAATGTTTTTGGCCTCCTCGCCTTTTCGCTTCCGATGTGCTCGTCAAGCTTCAAGATGGCTTCAAAATGGCCCCAGAAAGGCCCAAGCCGAGGACCAAAGAGGCCAGAGGCTGGCCCAAGAGGGCCCGAGGAGTCGAAAATCAGTGACAATCCATTGGGAAATTAATGTATGAAAATGGATAGGAAAATCAATGTTTTTGGCTTCCTCGCCTTTTCGCTTCCGATCGGCTCTGGAGGCGTCAAGATGGCCCCAGGATGGCCTCAGAGAGGCCCAAGACAGACCCCAGAATTCGAAATTCATTGTGGGGGGGGTGAGGGAGGGTGGGCCCTTTCCGGGGTCCCCGGCCTATAAAAATCTATGAAGCGGAATGTGTTGTGAGTGTGTGTGTGTGTGATACGTTTGTGTGTTGTGCGTGTGTTGTGTGTCGTGTGTTGTGTGCTGGGTGTTGTGTTGTGTATGTGTATGTTGTGTGTGTGCGCGTGTTTGTGTGCGTGTGTGCGTGCGTGCGTACGTACGTGCCTGTGTGCGTGTCGTGAACTGTGTGTGCGGCTTCGCGTGAGTGCGTGTGTGCGCGCGTGCGCGCTTGCGCGCGCGCGCGCGCGTGTGTGTGTGTGTGTGTGTGTGTGTGTGTGTGTGTGTGTGTGTGTGTGTGTGTGTGTGTGTGTGTGTGTGTGTGCGTGCGTGTGTGTGTCTGTGTCTGTGCGTGCGTGCGTGCGTGCGTGCGTGTGTGCGTGTGTGCGTGTGTGTGTGAATGTGTGTGTGTGCGTGTGTATATATGTGTGTGTGTGTGTGCGTCTGCGTGTTGCGCGTGCGCGTGTGCATGCGCGCGTTCGCGCGTGTGTGCGTGCGCGCGCGTGCGCGCGTGCGTGCGTGCGTGTGCGCGTGGGCGCGTGGGCGCGCGTGGGCGCGTGATTGCGCGTGATTGCGCGTGTGCGCGTGTGCACGTGTGCGCGCGTGTGCGTGTGAGCGTGCGTGCGTGCGTGCGTGCGTGCGTGCGTGCGTGCGTGCGTGCGTGCGTGCGTGTGTGGGTGTGTGTGGGTGTGTGTGTGTGTGAGTGTGTGTGTGCGTGCGTGTTTGTGTGTGTGTGTGTGTGTGTGTGTGTGTGTGTGTGCGTGCGTGTGTGTGTGTGTGTGTGTGTGTGTGTGTGCGTGTGTGGGTGCGTGCGTGCGTGCGTGCGTGCGTGCCTGTGCTTGCGTGCGCGCGGATGTGTAGGTGTATACAGGCCTGACATCCGCCACCGTGCCTTCGGCAAGTAGTTGAATGCCTCATGGCTCCTGCAATTGGACGTCGTACAGGAACCATCGGCTTGTAGGATTCTGCGGGGTCCAGCACTCGCCAAGATCTCGCACCAAGACGGCCCCCAAAAGGGCCCCCAGACGGCCCTAGAGGGCCCCAAGACTGCCACAGAGGGCCAAAACGGCCCCAAGAGAGCCCCAAGAGGGAGAACTCGCACTGACATCTCGCGCCCTCCGACCCAAGATGACTCCCGAGACCGCCAGCAGGCCCCCCAAAGGCACCCCAGAATCACCAGGATGCCCTTCAGGCCCAAATCAGGCTCCAAGAGGCCCCCAAGAAGCCCCCAAGCAGCCCACGAGAGGCCCACCCAAAACCCCTGGTGGTGTGGGCACACCTCCCCGCTCGAGACATCCCCGACCCCCAACATCAAGGGGCATCGCGGACCTCCACAAGGCACGGCGCCCAGCCGTGGCCGAAGACGGCGAAGAAACGTATCCTAATGGAGGCTCGAAGCCTGACGGTGAACCAAAAAAACATGGAGTCCTGCAGCGTTTCCAGCGGGACCAATAATACACGGGGAGAGAGCACCAGCCTGGACCGTGGGATCTGTTTGTCGTGCGCATGTGACATGCATCTTGGGAGCCCTTCGGGGGCTTCTGGCGGCGACTTGGGGGCCTCCGGGGCGCTTCTTGGAGTCTCCTAAGGGCATTTGGGGGCCGAAGGCTCGAAAAGTCCGTTCAGATTCCCTGTCTCGGGTCCTTCTTAGAGCCGTCTTGGAGCTATCTGGGACTGTTTTGGAGGCCTCTTGGGCTGCTTGGGTCCCTGTCGGGCTGTCTTGGGGCCTGTCGGCTATCTTTGAGCGTCGGGCAGCCGCAAAAACGGAAACCACAAAAAATCCCCCCACTCCCGCGAAAAACCAATTTGAGCCTCTTGTGGCCCTCTTGAAAAAGCCTCTTGGGGCGTCATGGAAGCTTTTTGGGCCGTCAAGGAACTATCTGGACTGTCTTGGACCGATATTGTGCCGTCCCGGAGCCCTCATGGAGATCTTGGGTGCTTCCTGGGGCCGCCTTGGAGGCGTCCTGGAGGCCTCCTGGGCCGTCTGGAGGCCCCTTGGAGGCGCCAGGGCGGAGGTATTAAAAAAGGGGGCCCGATGGTTTTGAGGTGGGCGGGGCCCCCGGGGACCTGGTATTCATCCATACGATATACTTGAACCACGCGCGCGTTTAGGTTCTGTTCCACCGCCATTTTCGACCGCCCGAGCGTTCATCTGGCAAGCGACACGAAATTGTCCAATGGGTCATCGGCGATAGCATTGACAGGACATCTCTGAGCCCAGAAAGGGGAGATCTCGGGCGAAATTGGTTGAACCACCTCAGGTGTGGGCTTCCCCGAAAACACAATGACGACGATGTCCCAGTAGTCCACGGCAGCTACAAACCATGAGCCCACGGCAGCTACACAGAGAACCTCAGTGTCCCCTTCGGGGATGGGGTGCTCGCTGCTCCTGGATAATATTTGCCACCTCGCTCAATCCACCGACCGCTAACCCATGTCACTGCCACACCCCACAATTCCAACCAAAAACAAGTTGACAAAAATGGTCCACCACGAAATCCCAACGAACAACCAATAGGCTTCATACCTAAAACCTAGGCACAGTGGCGGGAAGGCTATTCGATAGAGAAGAGACGAAAGTGCAACAGAGAATCATGAGTCCAGAGAGCGAGGCTCAGGCCTGGATGTCTCACCGGAACCCTTTTCTGCCGTACTCCGATCGGCACCCCGACAACAAACGAATCAAACGTACGTCGCTCACTTGGGGTCGGCGGCAGCCTTTAAATAACAAAGAAAGTAGAGGGAGAGAGAGAGAGAGAGAGAAAAAGAAAGAAAGAGAGAGAGAGAGAGACAGCACGGACAAACAAAAACGACCAAGTAGGAAGGGAAGGCAGGAGCAAGGGAGAGAACACAGGAGATACCAAAGCGAGCCTTGCGGCAAACGTCGACCTCAGAAGCTGCACAGCAGGGCAGGGATGAGCGCCCGCTTCGCATTGAGCGTGGCCCCCGCTGCGGCTGGCATGATGGCCACCACGATAACCCGGAAGAGCCTGGCGCGAATCCTCGCGAAGCCCGTCTGCTCTGCAGGGTCCTCCTCGTGCACGGCATCGGGGTCCTCGCCAACCTCGCAGCCGCGCGGCATGGTGGCGAAGGCCAGCACAAACATGACCACCGCGAGGATGCAGCAGACCTTGGGCGCCCCAAAGCGGTGCAGTGACAGACCGTGCGGTGACCTCGGAGACTCCAGAGACCTCCCCTTGAGATCCTGGCGCCGCATTTTTGATCGCGCCCAGCGTTTGTGCCTGGCTTCGGGCCCCAGGATGACAACCGGTCTCATCCATCTTAGGGCATCTCTCCTCTTCTGGATGGCGGCTCTGCAGGCCCGAGTTTAGGCACGAGAGGCGTTGGCGGCGGCGAAGTCGGCCACCAGGGCGTCACTCGGAGCAGCCAGGTGAGCAGTCGCGACGACGACTAGCTCCGATAAATCGTTCAGGCCCAAGAGATCCTTGATAACAAAGATTAAATCCTTTTTGTCCTCTTGCTTCCTTGCACTGCTCACTCCCGCCGCCATTGGGCACAGGACCCTTGAGTCACGCTTGCCCCGCAGGGAACGAGCGGAGCGCCTTACTGGCCCTGCCCGGCGCACTCCGCCGTGCCATGGCAAGCGCCTGATTGCTCCTCGCAGGACCCTAGCAGATCCATCCGGCCTGAAAAATGCAGCAGAACGATGGGGTCTGGTGCTCTGGTCGCGATGTTCCACGATGGTGCATCTTTCGCAATCTGATCTCAGGGTCACCGCACGGTCCCTCACCACACCGTGCCGGGACCTCGGAGGCCTTGAATCGCCTGAGGCGCTCTCGGAGAACGACCCACATCCCAAAACCGTGCCGACGTCCAGCCAGGAAAGGGGTGCCCCCCCCCTCCAAGGCGCGGTTTTCAAACCTGTCGCGCCGGCTCCGCCTCCCAGTCCGTGGCCTTCCTCGTTCGCCTTTGGACCTCGTTCCCTCTGACTCTCTTGAGCATCGTCTCACCGATCCCTATCCCCACCGGTGTGGCCTGGGCTCCACTGGCCGATTCGCCCCCCCTAGATGGGGATATAGGCTCCTCCCTTCGGGTTTCGAGGGGTATGTCACTGACATCCGCCGATATGTTACATAACAGCGAAGACTGATAGGTCTCTAGTGGTCTCACAAGAGAGCAGCAGATGACTCCTCAGGGGGGTCGGGGCGGGACCCGGGGCGGCTGCCGCCGAAGCCCAAATCGCTTCGGACATCCTCGCAAAATCGCTCTTGGCGCTGCTAGAACTCCATTCCTGGCGTACATTTTGGATGCCCGGAGCCAACTGTAGGCCACTTCGTGGTCTTCGAGTTCCCAGAACTGCATTCCCAGGCCACATTTTGCATGCCCGGAGCCAACTGTAGGCCACTTCGTGGTCTTCGACTTCCCAGAACTCCATTCCCGGGCCACATTTTGAATGCCCGGAGCCAACTGTAGGCCACTTCGTGCTCGTCGACTTCCCAGAACTCCATTCCCGGGCCACATTTTGGATGCCCGGAGCCAACTGTAGGCCACTTCGTGGTCTTCGAGTTCCCAGAACTCCATTCCCTGGCCCACATTTTGGATGCCCGGAGCAGGCTGAGGCACTGACCTGAGGCTGACGCTGAGGCTGAGGCAGGCTGAGGCTGAGGCTGAGGCTGGGCTGAGGGTGAGGCTGGCTGAGGCAGGCTGAGGCTGAGCGGCTGAGGCTGAGGCCGAGGCTGAAGGCAGACTGAGGCTGAGGCAGACGCTGAGGCAGGCTGAGGCTGAGGCTGAGGCTGAGGCTGAGGCTGAGGCTGAGGCTGAGGCTGAAGGCAGGCTGAGGCTCAGGCTGATGCAGGCTGAGGCTGAGGCAGGCTGAGGCTTGAGGCTGAGGCAGGCTGAGGCTGCGGCCGAGGCAGGCTGAGGCTGAGGCCGAGGCAAGCCGAGGCAGGCTGAGGATGAGGCTGAAGCTGAGGGAGGCTGAGGCTGAGGCTGAGGCTGAGGCAATCTGCGGCTGAGGCAGGCTGAGGCTCAGGCTGATGCAGGCTGAGGCTGAGGCAGGCTGAGGCTGAGGCTGAGGGAGGCTGAGGCTGAGGCTGAGGCCGAGGCAGGCTGAGGCTGAGGCCGAGGCAGGCTGATGCTGAGGCAGCCTGAGGCTGAGGCTGAGGCTGAGGCTGAGGCTGAGGCTGAGGCAGACGCTGAGGCAGACGCTGAGGCTGGCTGAGGCAGACGCTGAGGCTGATGCAGGCTGAGGCTGAGGCAGGCTGAGGCTGAGGCTGAGGCTGAGGCTGAAGGCGGACTGAGGCTGAGGCTGAAGCAGGCTGAGGTTGAGGCTGAGGCTGAGGCAGGCTGAGGCTGAGAATGAGGCAGGCTGATACTGAGGCAGGCTGAGGCTGAGGCTGTGATTGCGAATGCCGTTGCCGCTGCGACTGTCATCGCAAATGCGACTGCGACTGTGAGAACAGCAGAATTCTACAACTGGATTCTGATCTGAATATCAAGGAGAATGCTTCCAGATATGCTTCTACACATCGCTGTTAGGTTGCTTTGCCGGGATAATTTTTACCTAAAGCGACACTTGCTGATAGGTTTCCTAGTGGTCTCAAAAAAGAGCAACATGGACTCCTCCAGGGGGCTCGGGGCGGCGGACCCGGGGCGGCTGCCGCCGAAGGGGCGAAATCGCTTAGGGATATCGTCGCCCAAAATCGCTCTTGGCAGCTCCCAGGACTCCATTCCCGGGCCACATTGGAAGCCCGGAGCCAAACTGTAGGCAACTTTGTGCTCGTCCGACTTCCCAGAAAACTTCCATTCCGGGCCACATTTTGGATGCCCGGAACCCCCCCCCCCCCCCCCGGAGCCAACTGTAGGCCACTTCGTGCTCTTCGACTTCCCAGAACTCCATTCCGGGGCCACATTTTGGATGCCCGGAGCCAACTGTAGGCCACTTCGTGCTCTTCAAGTTCCCAGAACTCCATTCCTGGGCATGATTTTGAATGCCCGGAGCCAACTGTAGGCCACTTCGTGTTCTTCTAGTTCCCAGAACTCCATTCCAGGGCCACATTTTGAATGCTGAGGCAGGCTGATGCTGCGGCCGAGGCAGGCTGAGGCTGAGGCAGGCTGAGGCTGAGGCCGAGGCTGAAGGCAGACTGAGGCTGAGGCTGAAGCAGACTGAGGCCGAGGCTGAGGCAGGCTGAGGCTGAGGCTGAGGCAGGCTGATGCTGAGGCAGGCTGAGGCTGAGGCTGAGGCTGAGTCAGGCTGAGGCTGAGGCAGGCTGAGGCTGAGGCTGAGGCAGGCTGAGGCTGAGGCTGTGACTGTGACTGCCGTTGCCACTGCGACTGTCATCGCGAATGCGACTACGACTGCGAGAACAGCAGAATTCTACAACTGGATTCTCATCTGAATGTTAAGGGGAATGCTTCCAAATATGCTCCTACACATCGCTGTTAGGTTGCTTTGCCGGGATAATCATTTTTTCCGAGTCTTCCAGCCAACGCTTGATGGAGCTCCTCCCATATCCCCCAAGCAGCGCTGCGCGAAAAGAGATCTACGAGGCTCCCGGCGGTAACCTGGTTGACGGTTTACCGCTGGCTCCCAGTTCTAAGAGCAGCTCAGCTCCTGCGAAGGAGTTTAACTATGGGTTCACTTCCGGGAACCGACCTCGTATTGACATCAACAAAAATACAAAATTCAAGATTTTAAGAAAATCTTCTCCAAAGTTCTCTGCTTCGATTCTGAGCACTCTAGTACCTCGTAGAGCTCTTCGGCATCGATGAGCTGGAGGAATTCCGGCGCAGGGTGCAGCTAGTAACTCGTAGAGCTTCCCTTAGCTAGTTGCTGGAAGCTTAAGAGTAATACCTCGTAGAGCTCTTCGGCAAGATGAGCTGAGAGGAATTCGGGCGCAGGGTGAAGCTAGTTGGCAGACCCGACCTTAAGAGACAATGTGGTAACTTTGGGTCGATTTTTGTATCTTTGTGCAAAAGTTGAAGGTTCGTTTTAAGAACTGGTATTTTTCTCACGTGTAGTGGGTTATGCCGCGTCTGCCAGTGAAATTCTCAGGTCCGTAGCTGCAGTATTACTATCAAAAGACTTGCAGCAACCGACTGTGTTCCGAGTCACTCTGACACGCGTTAACGGTTTTCGGTACTGAACTCGAGATTCGGGGAAGCTACAGAGCTCATACTTAGAAACTTTTTCGGAATCATCAGGCGCGTTCGTCTGTTGCATCCAGAGGTCTGAACTCGGTCTCATACTCGAGCTAGGTCCGCAAAACTAGTTGTATCCTTCGAGTCATTTTGACAAGTCCTCTCGGTTTTCTGTACTTAATTCAAAATGTAGAAGAGCTACAGAGCTGGTACGCACATAAACAGATCCAGTATTACCAGGCGCGTTCCTTTTTTGCATCTAGAGGTCTGAACTCGGTCTGGTACTCGAGCTAGGTCCACAAAACTATTCGTATTCTTCAAGTTCTCTTTACAGACGCTGTCGGTGTTCTGTACTTAGCTCGAGCTACAAATCTCGTACGTACAGAAACCGATCCAGAATCATCAGAGGCGTTCGGCTGAAGCATCTAGAGCTCTGAACACAGTCTGCTACTCAAGCTAGATCCAGAAAACGATTCGTATGCGACCTATTTACCTAACAGCGAAGACTGATAGGTTTCTAGTGGTCTCAAGAGAGAGCATCATGACTCCTCAGGGGGGTCGGGGCGGGACCCGGGGCGGCTGCCGCCGAAGCCCAAATCGCCTGGGACATCCTCGCAAAATCGCTCTTGGCGCTGCTAGAACTCCATTCCCGGCGTACATTTTGGATGCCCGGAGCCAACTGTAGGCCACTTCGTGGTCTTCGAGTTCCCAGAACTTCATTCCCGGCGTACATTTTGGACGCCCGGAGCCAACTGTAGGCCACTTCGTGGTCTTCGAGTTCCCAAAACTCCATTCCTGGGCATGATTTTGAATGCCCGGAGCCAACTGTAGGCCACTTCGTGGTCTTCGAGTTCCCAGAACTCCATTCCTGGGCATGATTTTGAATGCCCGGAGCCAACTGTAGGCCACTTCGTGTTCTTCGAGTTCCCAGAACTCCACTCCCGGGCCACATTTTGAGTGCTGAGGCAGGCTGATGCTGAGGCTGAGGCAGGCTGAGGCTGAGGCAGGCTGAGGCTGAGGCCGAGGCTGAAGGCAGACTGAGGCTGAGGCTGAAGCAGGCTGAGGCTGAGGCTGAGGCTGAGGCTGAAGCAGGCTGATGCTGAGGCAGGCTGAGGCTGAGGCTCAGGCTGATGCAGGCTGAGGCTGAGGCAGGCTGAGGCTGAGGCCGAGGCTGAAGGCAGACTGAGGCCGAGGCTGAAGCAGGCTGAGGCTGAGGCTGAGGCAGGCTGAGGCTGAGGCTGAGGCAGGCTGATGCTGAGGCAGGCTGAGGCTGAGGCTGAGGCTGATGCAGGCTGAGGCTGAGGCAGGCTGAGGCTGAGGCCGAGGCTAAAGGCAGACTGAGGCTGAGGCTGAAGCAGGCTGAGGCTGAGGCTGAGGCAGGCTGAGGCTGAGGCTGAGGCAGGCTGATGCTGAGGCAGGCTGAGGCTGAGGCTGAGGCTGATGCAGGCTGAGGCTGAGGCAGGCTGAGGCTGAGGCCGAGGCTGAAGGCAGACTGAGGCTGAGGCTGAAGCAGGATGAGGCTGAGGCTGAGGCAGGCTGAGGCTGAGGCTGAGGCAGGCTGATGCTGAGGCAGGCTGAGGCTGAGGCTGAGGCTGTGACTGCGACTGCCGTTGCCACTGCGACTGTCATCGCGAATGCGACTGCGACTGCGAGAACAGCAGAATTCTGCAACTGGATTCTCATGTGAATCTTAAGGGGAATGCTTCCAGATATGCTCCTACACATCGCTGTTAGGTTGCTTTGCCGGGATAATTTATTCCATCCGCGGCCGCAGAGGTTCCGACCGCTTCTCCGGGGGGTAGCTTGTCGTCCAGGGTCAATGTTTGCTAGCACCTCGGCCCGAAAACGACCCGGAGGCCAGAATCGAAGAAAAAAAAAAAACGCCAGGATTCAACAAAAATCATGTCGTCAGAACTCTGGGCTCACCGCACGGTGTGGTCAACGCGCCGCTTGTCGGCGGTAAGCCCAGGGGGGAAGTGAGAGGGGGCATGCCTTCACAGAAGGCGGCGGCGCTCCTCAGAAGCCCTCGCGCTTTCTGACAAGCCATCAGTTGCTTTCAGGGCTGGACCTAAATGCTGTTTTTCGTTATGTGTTTTGTTTTGCCCACTTGTTTTCCTGCACCTCTCTGCCACAGCGAAAAGCAAAACACAGCCGAAGTCCAGCATAACAACGCTCAGGCCCAGCCCTGCTTCTGATGGAGGCGCGTCCCCTCTCGCTTCCCCCCTGGGCTCGCTGGACCCTCCCCCGTCCCCCACTCCTCAGACCTCCGCGAAGGTGCGCTCTGACCAGAATCTCGAGGAGAATCCAGCCGTGGCGACGAGAGCTCCCCGGGGCGAGCAGCGGCATCGGCACCTTCCCATCCTCCTCCTCCTCCTCCTCCTCCTCCTCCTTCCTCCTCCCCTCTCCTCCTCCTCCTCCTCCTCCTCCTCCTCCCCTCTCCTCCTCCTCCCTCTACTCCACCTCCTCCTCCTCCTCTCACTCCCCTCCTCCACCCTCTCCCTCCTCCTACCTCTCCTCCTCCTCCTCCTCCTCCTCCTCCTCCTCCTCCTCCTCCTCCTCCTCCTCCTCCTCCTCCTCCTCCTCCTCGCGGTGCGGTGTGGTCACTGCCCCGGTGGGGGGGCCGTGGTGGTTTTGAGGGTCGCAGCTCGGCTCTCGCGTGGCCCTCCCGGACGACCAGGGCCCCCCCCGGACGACACTCGGCGAGGCCCAGCCACTGGAACGCCTCCCAAGGCTGGGCATCTGGCAAGGGCCGACGAGCACGCCCGAAAGCATCGAACCCCGAACCCCTCTCACTTCTCCCCTGGGCTCGCCGCCGAGTTTTCGGGCAGGATCGATCGGCATCGAAGCGGAAAATCGGACCGAATCGGAATGTGCGTCGGATCGGGCTGCATCGGCACGGAGTCGAAATCGGATCGGATCGGCTGCACCAGGATGCACAACAACGCCATGTAAGCGTCGAGCCGCATCGGATCGGCGGGACATCGAAACCGAGTCGGATCGAAATGGCCGAAAACAATATTGAGTCGGCTCGATCGGATCGACAGGGGCTCCGTTCTGGCTATACGCAAGAGCGACCCTGGACAATATGGACCGTTGGTGCACGGCTCTTGGGGGCCGCGGGGGGGCCAAACACAAGGGCGCAAGACACTGCTACCGCATCGCGTTCGGCGATCGGGGGACCCCAGCAGGCCCGCACCGAAGACCACTCTGGCGAAGGGTCACTCCCCGGGGAGCCCACACAGGACGCGCGCGCCCAACCACGCGCACGAACACGGCCCCCCGTCTGCGAGCCCGGCCTCGTGATACGAACGCTCGCGCAGCGCGTGCCCTCGACACCGACGCGGCCTCGTGTGCGCGCACGTCCCCCCATCGCTCACTCCCGACCCTCGCGTGCCGTCGACTGCTGGGGCCCCCCCGCCCCCGCAGGCCATCGCCACGTCCGCCACCCAGGGCAGGCCGCCGGGCGCGCTGGGGTCCTCGAACGGCCGCCGCGGCGGCTCGCCGAGGGCCGCGGAGAGGCCGCCGAACGCCTCCCGGGCGCAGGCGCCGGCGCCCTGGAGCGCCGAGCGCAGCAGCGCGGGGACCTCCCGGGAGGCGGGGTCGCGGGGGGGTCGCGGGGCGGGTCCTGGGCTGGGCCGCGGGGCGGGTGGGGGTCGCCGAGCGCGTCGCGGGGCCTGGGTCGCCGGGTGGGTCGTGGGGCGGGTCGCGGGGGGGTCGCGGTATGGTAGCCCCCCCACATGATCATACATATTCTTCGGATGTGTGTGTATATATATATATATATATGTTTGTGTATATATATATATATATATATATTTATATACTCCCCTCCCTCATCTGCTGCCCGTTCTCCGTCGCTCCTCCTTATCCTCTTATCGGCCTTCAGCGGGGCAGTGCAACCTCGGGCTGAGGGCAGCGGGGTAGCGCAAGGCTTCAGTGGGAATCCTTTGGCAAGCCCCACAGGAGGATTCAATTGGATGGGAAAACGCCACAACAACGATTTTATTGGAAAGCATCACAACAATAATCCTTTGGAGAGCACCGCAAAGGGATTCGATTGGAAAGCAAAAGTCCTTTTTGGAAAGCACCAGACAAGGATTCTAGTGGAAGCCTCACAGCAGGAATCTTTTGGAAAGCACCACACAGGGATTCTATTGGATTGGAAAACGCCACAAAGAGATTATGTTGGAAAGCCTTACACCAGGAATCCTTGGGAAAGCGCAACTAAAGGATTTGACTGGAAAACCGCACAACAGGAATCCTTTGGAAAACACCACAAAGGGATTCCATTGGATTGCCTCACAACGTGACCCCTGTGGAAAACATCGCACAGGGTTTTGATTGAAAGGCCTCACAACAAGAACCCTTTGGAAAGCACACACAGGGATTCAATTGGATTGGACAGCGCCACAAATCCATTCGATTGGAAAGCCTCACAACAGGAATCCTTTGGAAAGCACCACGCAGGGATTTTATGGAAAAGAGCCTCGCAAAAAAAAAGGCCTTCGGAAGGCGCCACAAAGGGATTCGATTGGATTGAACAGCACCGCGAAAGGATTATATGGGAAAACCTCACAACAGGAATATTTTGGAGCCACAACGGGATTCTTTGGGAAATCCTCACAACAGGACTCCTTTGGAAAGCACGACCAATGGATTCTATTGGAAAGCCTCACAAGAGGCATCCTTTGGAAAACATCACACATGGATTCTAATGGATTGGAAAGCACCACAAACGGATGTGTATTGGAAACCCTCTCGAAAGAAATCCTTCGGAAAGCACCGCAACGGGATTTTACTGGAAAGCCTCACAACAGGAATCCTTTGAAAAGCGCAGCAAAAGGATTCGATTGGACTGCCTCACGCCAGGAATCCTTTGGAAAACGTCGCAAGGGGCTTCTACTGGAAAGCCTCACACCAGGAATCCTTTGGAAATCATCACGGAAGGATTCTATTGGAAGGGAAAGCGCCACAAAGGGATTTTCATGGAAGGCCTCACAACAGGAATCCTCTGGAAAGCACCACAAAGGGATTCCATTGGAAAGCCTCACACCAGGAATGACTGCCGCGCAACATGAATCATTTGGAAGCACAACCAATTGATTCGATTGGAAAGCCTGACAACAGGCATCCTGTGGAAAACACCACAAGGGATCTATCGGATTGGAAAGCGCCACAAAAGGATTATATGGGAAAACCTCACATCAGGGATCCTTTGTCTTTGGAAAGAGCAATTAAAGAATTCGATTGGAAAACAGCACAACAGGAATCCTTCGGAAAACACCAAAAAAGGATTCCATTGGATTGCCTCACAACATGACCCCTGTGGAAAACATCGCACAAGGTTTTTATTGAAAGGCCTCACAACAGGAACCCTTTGGAAAGCACCACACCGGGCTTCGATTGGATTGGACAGTGCCACAAAGGGATTCGATCGGAAAACCTCACAACACGAATCCTCTGGAACGCACCCCACAGGCTTTCCATCGGAAAGCCTCGCAACAAGAATCCTTTGGAAAGCACCACAGAGGGACCCTATTGGATTGGAAAGCGCCACAACAGGATTTTATGGGAAAGCCTAACAACCGGAATCCGGTGGAAATCACCACAAGGGATTCGATTGGATTGGAAAGCGCCACAAAGGAATTCTGTTGGAAATCCTCACACCAGGAATCCTGTGGAAAGCACAAGTAAGGGACTCTATTCGAAAGCCGCACAACAGGAGTCCGTGGGAAAAGCGCCACAAAGGGATTCCTTTGGATTGCCTCACAACAGGAGCCCTTTTGGCAAGCATCGCAAAGGGTTTCCATTGAAGGCCTCACAACAGGAACCCATTGGAAAGCACTACAAGGGGATTCTATTGGAATGGGAAGCGCCTCGAAGGGATTCAATTGGAAAGCCTCACGACACGAATCCGCTGGAAAGTGCCACGCAGGGATTCTAGTGGAAAGCCTCACAGCACGAATCCTTTGGAAAGCACCACGCGGGGATTCTATTGGAAAGCACCACAAAGACCTTCTGGGCACTGAAAAACCCATAAAACACAAGGAACAACAAAAAAACAAAGAAACCAAAGACCCAGGGTTGACCCCCCACACACACACACACACACACACACACACACACACACACACACACACACACACAAAAAAAAAAAACAAACACACAAGAAAACAAGGAAAAACCCACCCAACAAAAAAATGTTTGCAGCACTTTCTGTGTAAGGGCGGCGGGGACGGGGTAACTCTTGAAATATATGTTTCTTTGCTGTTTGTTGTTTTTTCCTTGTGATTTTTTGTTGTTCAGCCATGGGTATTTTTTAGCGCCCAACCTCCTCTTCCTCCAACCCTCCTCCTTCTCCTCCTGTCTCCTCCTCGTGGAGGGACGTCCTTTTGTGCTGGAGGAATAGATGTGTTGTCATTTGAGGGAGTTTCTGTGGAACTCACGTCATCCTCACCCCCGGCGCGAAGAGCACGAGCCCAGAGCGGCCTCCGGCACCGTTTCCGGACGGATCCGCTGGATCCGCTGGATCCGCTGGATCCGGTGACGAATCCCAAACCGGCGCCCTCGCCTGAGACATCCTCCCAAAACGGGCCCCGGGGGGGTTGCCCAGAGGAGCCCAGAGCGGCCTCCGGCACCGTTTCCGGACGGATCCGCTGGATCCGCTGGATCCGCTGGATCCGGTGACGAATCCCAAACCGGCGCCCTCGCCTGAGACATCCTCACAAAAACGGGCCCCGGGGGGGATGCCCAGAGGAGCCCAGAGCGGCCTCCGGCACCGTTTCCGGACGGATCCGCTGGATCCGCTGGAACCGCTGGATCCGGTGACGAATCCCAAACCGGCGCCCTCGCCTGAGACATCCTCACAAAACGGGCCCCGGGGGGGATGCCCAGAGGAGCCCAGAGCGGCCTCCGGCACCGTTTCCGGACGGATCCGCTGGATCCGCTGGGTCCGCTGGATCCGGTGACGAATCCCAAACCGGCGCCCTCGCCTGAGACATCCTCACAAAACGGGCCCCGGGGGGGATGCCAGAGGAGCCCAGAGCGGCCTCTGGCACCGTTTCCGGACGGATCCGCTGGATCCGCTGGATCCGCTGGATCCGGTGACGAATCCCAAACCGGCGCCCTCGCCTGAGACATCCTCACAAAACGGGCCCCGGGGGGGATGCCCAGAGGAGCCCAGAGCGGCCTCCGGCACCGTTTCCGGACGGATCCGATGGATCCGCTGGATCCGCTGGATCCGGTGACGAATCCCAAACCGGCGCCCTCGCCTGAAACATCCTCACAAAACGGGCCCCGGGGGGTTGCCCAGAGGAGCCCAGAGCGGCCTCCGGCACCGTTTCCGGACGGATCCGCTGGATCCGCTGGATCCGGTGACGAATCCCAAACCGGCGCCCTCGCCTGAGACATCCTCACAAAACGGGCCCCGGGGGGGAGGAGCCCAGAGCGGCCTCCGGCACCGTTTCCGGACGGATCCGCTGGATCCGCTGGATCCGCTGGATCCGGTGACGAATCCCAAACCGGCGCCCTCGCCTGAGACATCCTCACAAACGGGCCCCGGGGGGGATGCCCAGAGGAGCCCAGAGCGGCCTCCGGCACCGTTTCCGGACGGATCCGCTGGATCCGCTGGATCCGGTGACGAATCCCAAACCGGCGCCCTCGCCTGAGACATCCTCACAAAACGGGCCCCGGGGGGGGATGCCCAGAGGAGCCCAGAGCGGCCTCCGGCACCGTTTCCGGACGGATCCGCTGGATCCGCTGGATCCGCTGGATCCGGTGACGAATCCCAAACCGGCGCCATCGCCTGAGACATCCTCACAAAACGGGCCCCGGGGGGGATGCCCAGAGGAGCCCAGAGCGGCCTCCGGCACCGTTTTCCCGGCAAGCAGAACCGGATCCGCTTTCGGATCAGCTGGATCCGGGTGAGAATCCCAAACCGGCGCCCTCGCTGAGCATTCATACAATACGGGCCCGCGGGGGCGGGGGGTGGCCGGGGGTGGGCGGTTGGGGTATGCCACGTGGAGCCCCCCAGAGCGGCCTCCGGCACCGTTTCCGGACGGATCCGCTGGATCCGCTGGATCCGGTGACGAATCCCAAACCGGCGCCCTCGCCTGAGACATCCTCACAAAACGGGCCCCGGGGGGGATGCCCAGAGGAGCCCAGAGAGGCCTCCGGCACCGTTTCCGGACGGATCCGCTGGATCCGCTGGATCCGCTGGATCCGGTGACGAATCCCAAACCGGCGCCCTCGCCTGTGACATCCTCACAAAACGGGCCCCGGGGGGGATGCCCAGAGGAGCCCAGAGCGGCCTCCGGCACCGTTTCCGGACGGATCCGCTGGATCCGCTGGGATACGGTTGACGGAATCCAAGCCCGGAGCCCTCGCCTGTGACATCCCCCTCACAAAAACGGGGCCCCGTGGGAAAGGGGGGGGGGGGGGGGCGGGGGGGATGTCCAGCCACATAGAGGAGCCACAGAGCGGGCCTCTCAAGGCCACCGCTTCGGACACGGGATCCGCTGGATCCGCTGGATCCGGTGACGAATCCCAAACCGGCGCCCTCGCCTGAGACATCCTTACAAAACGG